CCCGATTTGAGGAAGCCCGATTCCCCCCCCCCCAAAGCCGCCGGGCGCCCGCCGGCAGGAGGACCAGCTCTTTCCCAAAGGAGCATCAGAGCCGTCGGGGAATCTCCCGTGGGGAAGTGGCCGCTTACCCCGTGGAGCTTCATGTAGAGGCCGCAGGCGTTGCAGACGGGCTCGCCCTCCGCGTTCCTGCGCCACAGGGTGGTGGTCGTGGTGTGGCAGTTTGGCACAGGACAAGCCCAGCCGCCGGGACGAGGGCTAGAGGCAAGCGTAGGCAAACACAGGCATAAACAGGCGGGCAGGAGCAAATGATTTATGTCTTTACGGCGTATAAAAAGTACTTTAACATGCAGCGGGGACGGTAGGAGGGGTTTTTTTTATGGCATCTATCAGCGACATCCCAGAATTAAAACAAGATTATCCTCATTTCAGAGACTGAAAAGCTGACGTGAAGAGGCACTGCCAGTCTGCAACTCCGGGCAGTTGCAGCAGAGGTAAAATACACATTTTGGGAGCTGCTGACCCAGGAACCTCTGTTCAGACCACCAGACACTGGCTCTTCCTCCAGTGTGACAGCTAGGAAACATCTCCACTACAGCTCTGTCCAGCTGAGGAGAAGGCACATCACTCCTGGGCCACCTCTCCAGCCGGTTCAATGCCCTCTTCCCTGTGCGGTGGGCAAGGAGGCAGTTCCGAACCTGCCACCGATACTCCCCACTCATCGGAAAAATCAGCCGCTTTAATCAGCTTCCCTCGGTGGCACCATGGCTGGGGAAAACAAACTTTACCAGGTGCCGGAGGCTAACACATACGACGGCGGCATCTTTATAAAAAAGATTTTTTTTTTATCGTCGCCCATTTTATCCTTGAGCGAAAAACAAGGTGCCTCGGGAACATGTTTTACAGAACAGAGCCTCCTCTTGGCCAGCAGAAAAGCTGGTGGGTGACAACAAGGTCCCCACTGCAAACAAGCCATTTATGACACTCTTCCGTGGAGTTTGGAGCCAAGATGAAGCAACCTTGTATCAGAAATAACCGTATAACCCAGAGCTTTATGGCTGCAGGCTGTATATCATAAGTGAAGGCAGTCCTCATAAACATGTGAAATGAAGGCGAATGGGTTATAAAAGTCCCTGTAACAAGTGATCTCTTTTACGTTCATCACAAGCAAAGAATTCCAGCTACACCATAAATCTAGTCTTTTTCAAAGTATCACATTGTCAAAAAAATATAAAAAAATCTGTGCCTAGCTCTGTGTCTGGCAGCTGAACAAGTTTACACGGAGAAGTCAGTTTTAGAGGATTGCATTAATCTTATTCTGACTATAAAGCGCCCATAACCGAAATTACTAACTTAAGGGTACAATGCCCTTCCTCTTGAATCATTTACTGCTGGGTTGTTAGATGTAACTCGGTCACCTTTGATATCGCAGAGCTGCCTGCCACTTGGGAAACCGATAAAAATGTTTTGAGAATGAAGAATATTCCAGAGTAATAACTGAGTTTCTTGAATTTTATCTGTTTGAGTTTCTGTAGCAGTATGCTGTCATCTTAAACCGCAGCTCAGAAATAACTCCAGATTAAGTACGAATTTTGTAACTTTGAATCAGTAATCCATTATTAATTGCACAGCAAAAAAACCCAGCCAAGTGTAATATAGGCTGAAGTACACGCATATACTTTTTAATCTTAAAAATCCAGGTCTCGTGAAAACAGAATTTTTGACCTTGTTATTAAATACGTATGCACACAGCGTCCAAACTGCCTTGCTCGATTCAGTACAAGTTTGACATGGATTGGGTAAAAAAAAGCCGGTCTTAACACATATGCTGCATTTTCTTTCTCTGGAAGTGAAATGCTGTCAGACGTTTCACTCTGTTAAATCTTTCTTTCTTTTGTATGCAATCTGGTATTAATCTTCATATATTTGATTTCAATAGCTTTTGCTCATTGCTGTATCTAAACAAATGGGGGGGGGTTGGCATGTTTTGAAGCGAAAATGACTTTTCTGCTGCAGGAATTTTATCAGAAACTTCGGTGAAATCTAAACATGTTTAGCATTTTCAAAACATTTTCCCTTCTCACCTACATATTTCCAACTGTATGAACACACAGTCATGGTTGATTTATAGTTATGGCCAGGGTACTCGGTAGGGATTGTTACACAGAGCTATTTCAGAGTTATTTCGCCGAGGTGTCAGGCTGAAGTCGGGCTGCAGTTTGACTCTGTTTTAGCCTCCTCACCCCCACCCCTCCTTCAAAAAAAAAAGAAAAGAAACGCAGAAATGCCAGAGCCGGGTATCAGCTACTTGAAATCTGCATTGGGCCAGGGTGCCACGGCCAGTCGAGCTCTGACACTTCAGACAAGCAGCAGATCTGGCCCGTCTGCTGCGTTTGTCCCCGGTAGCGAGATAACACCTTGGGTCATGAAATTTAGTGGACGACCAGCTAGAAAAAACAGGCACCCAGCAGTAATTAACCTCTGGCTTAAAGTTAAATTAACTCTTCAGCTTAAAGAAAGGTCTTTAAGCAGAGGTGGGGTTGGTTCATGAGCACTTACTCTCTGCTCTTATCATTGCACATTTGGTTTTTGGTTCATATCCCCCCCCCCGCCCCGTAAGGGCATTAAATTCAAATGGTTGTGAAATGAAGAACGGGATGTGTTTTAACGCTAGGAAAACAGGCACGGAGCGAAGCAGCTGGCGTGATTGAAAGGGGCTTGAAAGGCTGACGGGTTTGATACACTGTCTCCATACACAAGGGTCCAAACATCAGCTTAGATTATACTGGCGTGATTTATTGTGGCTCGCTCGGTAACAGCCATTACTGAAGAGCGTATTCTTTCTCTCTGCTGACCTCCACCCAGATTTGCTAAACATAATGTGCAGTTCCCGCTTGTTAAATTTTCTACTATTCAGTGCCAGCCTGAGTTATAAACAGGGGTTCTGGTTTGTACTATTTATTTCCCCCCCTAGTTTTAGGAGTATATTTTTAGAAAAATTGCTGCTCATTTCTTAGGAGTAAAACAAAACAAAGGCTATTATCATTGTTTAAACAATTGGTTTTCTTTGAATTATATACAAAACTTGCTTACATTCCCAAGGATCGAGCTCTCAGCAAACAAAGCAGGTCTGGAGAAATTCCTAGCCCTCTGAACAAACACTTTCCAACCTTGATTTTTTTTTTTTTTTTTCCTTTCTGTTGGAAACATCCAACATTAGCAGCAGCTGCACAAATTTCTCCCAAGCCGCCGATGCTCCCTCACCAACAGGGTCCATCAACTCAAAAAGTCAGGCTAGCCCGTGCTGGGTCTGCAGCTCACCAGGGGCAGAGGGCAATTTTACCACCTGAAGGTGGGCCCAAAGGGGCACCCAGAGGGCTGCCAGCGCTGTCGCCCACACCATGAGCGCTTTGGCCGGCCAACCCGCTGAGGAGCCCCGCTTCATGTCTGCAGCCGGGGGGACAGCCGGGCTGACACGCTCCGACTGCGCTCCCCCATCCTTGCCCGTGCTTTCCCCCTGTCTGGCGCTGACTGGGGGTCCCTCGGGGTGCAGCTCCTCTCGCTCCCCCCCCTCCCCTCCATCCCCACTCACCACTCTCTTCTGGGGCTTGATGAGGGGCCGGCTGAGGCCGTTCATTTTGGTGTAGAGCCCGCAGGCGTTGCACAGGTAGTTGCCGGTGCCGTCCCTCCTCCACAGCGGGGTCTGGATGGAGCCGCAGTTGACGCAATCCCGGCTCTCGGACAGGTCCCCCAGGA